CCCCCCCCCCTTTCCTGTTCTTCCCTGGCCTTCCATCTGTACATAACTATTACTATATTCCTTTAACCGTTACATTTGAGAATTTTAGCACACTAACGACTTAAGCTCAGCCACTACGGGCTGCTGCACGTACTCCTACGTTTATTGGCTCAAAGAATGATTAAGTACAACGCAAGTCAACGGCAAACCTGCAGCGTTTTACGTACCTACCGTTACTGGGAAGAGGGAGTACTCGACTATGCTTGTTACCACAGTAAAGATGTAGATCGGTCGTGTCTGCAAAACGAAGGTAGGAGCTTTGACGGAGAGCCACGGGTCGTTGCGGATGACGGCTTGAAGCATGCCGGCGATGGCGACAACAGACAGCATCCCGTACGAGTACACGAAGCACCGCATTAAGGTTGTGCATCGCTTCTCGCAGCGCTCGTTCAGCGTCACGGCCTGCGTAGCCACCTTGCGCTCCATGGGCGTGAATTCTTCCTCGATCTTGCGGACAGCCAAGATCTGTGTGACGTAAAGTGGTCAGCAAAATTTTAGACAGCTCCCAAGACTCTCTCTGCCTGAAGGCAACAAGCTGCCTACCCGGGGCCACATTTCCACCAAGTTTGTGCTTAAACTTGGAGCAACACATCGACGGACGCAAACACTTTACCCACCAGTTAAGTACAGTATAAGCAGCCCGCGAAACCCGACCCGTGTACAAACCGTATACGTTCCACGTACGATCCCCATGTGTTCATACAGGTAACGTATAAGGTTCGTATGTGGTCAGTGTATGATCTGTCCGCTACATACGATCCGTATGCCTTTAATTAGTGGAACGGTGTCGCAGCAGTGTCGCAGCATTTGGTTTAAGGTTTTTTTTTACCTCGCACCAATTTGTGCGAGAGTGCCTCATACATCAGTTTCCACAGAAGGCAGCCTCTACCCACCGTAACGGCGTGCTTCTGCAGCGCAAGCATTTTGATGGCGCACATCATAGAGCCAAGTGCGTCTGCCATGAAACTGACGAGCTCTGCACTGTTGTCGTGCTCGCCTAGGGCATAGTACAGCAACGGCGGGACGGCCGTTGCGGCGAACGAAAGCGGGAGCACGTACTCGCAGATTACTTGCGCAAGAGGCCAGGAGCAGATCAGCTGCAGGTAGTGCACAACGAAGTCCAGGGCCTGTGCGAACACACACATGCACTCACATTTGACCGTATCATTTTGAAAACCCAAGTCACCGATTACGGCGGCTCGATCTTCAAGTGACAAATAGAAGGTGACAAGTAGAAGGCCTCTGCAAAGTTTGAACGATGTGCGACAACGTTCGCCCGTAGCGCTGTGTCATTTTCATATCGATAATGTATTAATAACGAGGGGTGCCCAACTGAGGTAATCAGGTGTACACAGAGTAGGTAATCCCTGGTAATCACCAGTAATCCTTGGTAATCGCTGGTAATCCTTGGTAATCACCGGTAATCCATGGTAATCACCGGTAATCCTTGGTAATCACCGGTAATCCTTGGTAATCACCGGTAATCCTTGGTAATCACCGGTAATCCTTGGTAATCACCGGCAATCCGTGGTAATCGCAGGTAATCCATGGTAATCACTAGGTAATCGTTGGTAATCACCAGGTAATCGTTGGTAATCACCAGGTAATCGTTGGTAATCACCAGGTAATCTTTGGCAATCACTAAGTAATCCAGCAAGGAAATTCCTAGAAATCTTTGGTAATCACTTGTAATCTTTGGTAATCACTGGTCATCTTTGGTAATCACTAGTAATCATTGGGAATCACTGGTAATCTTTGGAAATCACTGGTAATCTGTGGTAATCAATGGAAATCTTGCGTAATCTCTGGTAATCTTTTGTCAGTGGTAATCTTCGGAAACCCTTGGTAATCATGGGTAATCTTTGGTAATCTTCGGTAGTCTCTGGTAATCCTTGGTAATCATCACCTTTTGGTAAACAGGTGTACACGATTTTTTCGAGTTGGGCACCCCTCGATTAATAACGTTTTAACACTAGAACTACCGGAGGGGTCAAAATGACCCCTTTTGATTTTGAATTGCTAAATGAACTATCATTTTTTTTTTCTACCGACCCGCTACTTTTTGACTTTTCATGGGTGAGACTCCCCGTCCGTCAGGGTCCTTGGCGCAGCGGGTCGACGGGGATTCTCGAACAAGAAAGTGGTGGGCGGGGACGGTCAGCGACCGACATCGACACGCGGATGAACAAAGGGGTGCAAAGCGACGTAGCACGCGGCTCGCGGTTGAATCTGAGGGGCGCAGACCGCCGCACAACAGCGTGAAGAGAGGGTCGAAGGGGCGCAGACCGCCTCACTTCGGGATGAATAGGAATAACAGTCAAGGGGCGCAGGCCGCCACCATCGACACAGAGCAAAAATCGTCTATTGATCTTAAAGACAAGATGTTTCATTCAGAAACAAACAGGGGTAGTGATGAGAACAAGGTTGATCTTTCTCCGCGAGGTGTCGGTAGCGCCTGCTGCGATCTAGCGGTGGGCGGCGGAGGCGGGCGGAGAAGCGCCGGGCGGCGCCCAGTGTCGCTCCCCGGCGGAGTCAAGCGGAAACTCGGACGGCAGACGGTCTGCAGCCGTGACATGGGTCACCAAAATACGCTTTGACACGAAAAATCAGGCATGTGCGTCAAAAACTTTAGGAGACATTATAACATATACCTCGCTCTACCGAAGGGGTCATGTTGACCCCTGTATTAGTTTTCGAGGGCTTTGATGGTTTTAACGAGCGTTTTTCAACTTAGACCTTGCCATTGTCGTTCTGTGTGGTACACACTAAATTGTTATGAACTTTTTTTGTACGCAGCTACGCACGTATGTGTAGGGAAGGTGGGGTAGATTGGGACACGGGGTACATTGGGACAGGAGCAATATCACATATTTCTAACAGTATTTACGTGCTGAAAAAAATTGACACGTAGCCAATGTTAGCATATTTCATGATGGTATCAGTGTTGGGGAGATTGCACACCATGTCTGATGTACAGAAAATATCAAAAGACGATACGCTCAAAAATCTGTTATAAAAGTAAGGTACCTTCTTATTTTATTTTGCTATTTTCTACGCGAACTGAAACGAGATAGAAAATCGCGCAAGTGGCTGGTCAGTAGGTAGTTCCTTACGACGCATTTTGCAAGTAAGGATTTTGAGTTGATTCCCAAAATACCGAAGAAAAAGAAAGGAATCACGAGAAAGGCAATTAAGTGCACACTGGGACAGTTCACCAATGGGCTCAATGTAACGCCTCAAAAAATCCAAAAACTGTCTCATCTTTTAGATAACTGGCCTGTTTAGGCTTCCAGACCGCAAGGCGGTTTGTATGCTGATATTTCACAGGAAAGGGCGTCAACTGTCCCAATGTGCCCCACCTTATGTATTCTTATGGTGTCCCAATGTGCCCCGTGCCCGGGAACATTGGGACAGGTGACACACTTCGGGGAAATCTCTCTACAGCCAAAGAGCATGAGATAAAAAATCAGTACGATATAGGATGTGATAGGCCACACATTAATGTACAATTGTAGCCAGTACCGGTCATTCCAACATGCATGATCTCCGACCTACAGCAAAAAGAAAAAATCCGTCCCAATCTACCCCACCTTCCCTTATTTGCGATGTTTACGGTTGTTTGTCAGACTGAAATAAACACAGGCTATGCTAAAATGTTGAGAATTATTGTATTGTATTTGATTGTAATCCTATGCAATTCACCCGAAACAAAACGAAAAATTGCGAAAAAATATAAGAACTTCTGAAACCACACAAACACGGTAAGTAAAGTGAGGAAAGTGAGCGGTAAAAGTACGGGTGAGAGAAGAGGGGCAGAGGGAATGACCAGACGGAGTCAAGCCCACCCCGTAACCAAGCCCTCTGATCTCTCCCGAACTGATCGTCGTAGCGGCATGTCGGACATCCTGCCAGGGCCTGTGGGAGGTGAACAGGTAATTCAAGGTTGTATAATTGTTGAAGTACAGCTACCGGTGAGGCAGTCTGGTGGGACCAAGGGGGGTCAGGCCTGCTACTGCAGAGCATGGCCGGAGCCCACAGTGCTGTCAGGGCCGAGGGGTCTGCAACTCGTATAATCAAAAGTACACGACCCTATATTCACTTATAATCACGTCTATAATCCATAATCTTTTATAATCATTATCTATAATCTATAATCATTCTATAATCTTATAATTTCTTATAATCTTTTGTATAATCAGTGACATTTTTGTAT